GTCCGCTATGCAAAACCTGCTGCAGCAATCCTCTCGAGCCAAATCTATTTAAAATATTTTAAGACTATCAACAGCTCTACGATTTTGTTCTCAGAAATCGTGCCGAATGAGTATTGGGATTTTCTTTCATGAGTGCAACCAGCCTTTCGAGATTGTGTTTAGTATTCACGACGTTAGACCTGCATGATTTTAACAAAAATTGGTGTCTAGCCGAAAGTAAAATTCTGTTCGACAGAAAATTCGATACTCAACAAAAATTTCGACACGGTTGCATAGCTCATAATACGAATTTCACATTCGATTTTCGATCTTCGATAACCAGCGATCGAAAATCGAATGCAACTCATAATAACGACCATAAATCAGTTAGCATGGAGAAACCTGCTGAATCGTATGAAACAGGCGTAATTCTTATGAAAGATTCTATGAAGAGCGAGACCAGGATATTTGACAATGCTTTGAGGAAATCGCCAACAGCTCTGACACTGATTCCAGTAGTGATGTGGATAGCCAAACGATGGATAAATGGAGAAATATTTACAGATACCCCTTATACGCAGACAAGAAGATCCTTTCATTTGGTGGAATCATAGACGGCCACTGTGGTCTATCGGTTAGCCTGGGTTCAAGCCCGGTTCAACCCAGCATAAAAAAAAGTTTTTCTAATTTCGGTCGCCTCTCGGCATGCAATGGCAAACCTCCGAGTTTATTTCTGCCATGAAAACAGCATCTCATAAAAACACAATCGCCGTTTGGAGTCGAAGTAAAACTGTAGGTCCCTCCCCTTGTGTGACAACATCAATGCGAAAGCCACAAATCGGAGGAGAAGCCCACTCAAACACTAACAAATGTGTAAGCACCAATATGTTATTATTATTGTCGCAAAGAAATTCCAAATTTGTTTACACTGACAATGAAGTATCTCTGCGAACCACCTTCCTCAGTGAACTCAAAAAGAGTGATGCGTGCATCGGGTAGCATTTATGTTGAAAATAGAAATGGGTTCTTGACCGGTAATGCGGAAGTGCTTCTTTTCATAATGAAAAATAACATAATGCTACTTTTCATAATGAGTGATAACAGAAAAACGGCCGGATATGCCGGATCCCGGATACCCGGCACATCCCTAGTCAACCAAATAAAAGATAACTTTTATTTGTGATTTGATTCGTCAACCAAATCAGTAATCAAATTGATTTGTGATTTGAATCGGCCTCCAAATCAGAAATCAAATTGATGGGTGATTTGAATAGCCCTCCAAATCAAAAATCAAATTTATTTGTGATTTGATTTGTAGAGCGAATCATTTGATTTGCGATTTTTCAACTAAATAATACTCTTTAATGCAACGCAACTACTTCGGGACGTTTCGGAATATTTGGGACTATTTCGGGTTTTTCGAGACTATTTCGAGATTTTCGGTGTTCTCAAGTATATTTCGGGATCTTCGGGATTTCTGGGACCAATTCGGAATTTTTGGGACTATTTCGAGATTTTCGGGGCTCTCGGGACTATATCGGAATCTTCGGGTTTTCGAGATCAATTCGGAATTTTTCTACTACTTCGAGATTTGCGGGGCTCTAGGGAATATATCGGAATTTTTGGACAATTTCGGGATTTCTTCGGGATATTCAGGAAATTTCGGGTTATTAGAGATTTTCGGGGTTCTCGTGAGCATATCGGGATCCTCAAGCTACTTCGGGATTTTTGATTTACTTCGGGGTTTTTCGGATTATTCCGGCTTTTATGAGACTACTTCGAGATTTTCAAGATTTTTGGGACTTTGTCGGATTTTTTTAGGAATTTTTTGACTACTTTGAGATTTTGAGGATTTTTGGGAATACTTCGAAATTTTCGGGGTTCTTGGGAATATAGTGGGATTTTCGGGGCTATTTCCGATTCTTCGAGACAACTTCGAGATTTTCGGGTTTATCCTGACCATATTGGGATCTTGGAGCAACTTCGGGATTTTTGAGACCAATTAGAAATTGTTGGGGTTATTTCGAGTTTTCCGAGACCACTTCGTGATTTTCGGGTTCTTGGGACTCTATCGGGATCTTCGGGACTTCTTCGGGGTATGTGGACTATTTCGGAATTTTCGAGACTTTTCGGGTTTATTTCGGGTTTGGCGAGAATACTTCCGAGATTTTCGGTGTTTTTAGGACTATATCGAGATTTTTGGGACTACCTTGAGATTTTCGGGGTTCTCGGGAATATAGAGGGATTTCCAGGAATATTTCTGATTATTCGGGACTGCTTCGAGATTTTCAGGGTTATCGGAACCATATTGAGATCTTCGGGAAAACTTCGGGATATTTGGGACCAATTCAAAGGTTTCGGGACTATTTCCAGTTTTCCGAGACTACTGCCATTGAGACTGTATAGGGATATTCGGGACTACTTCGAGGTATTTGGACTATTTCGGGATTCTCGAGACTTTTCGGGATTATTTCGGGTTTTCGAGACTAATGCGGATTTTTTGGTACTATTTTGGGTTTTTCGAGACTACTTCGAGGTTTTCGGGTTTCTCGGCACTAAATTGGGATTTTCGCACTATTTCGAGTTTTGCGAGACTTCTTCGGGATTTTCTCTCGGGGGTGCTCGGGTGTTTCGAGACTACTTCGAGATTATAGGGTTCTTGGGTCCATATTGAGATCTTCACGGCTACTTTGAAATTTTTAGACTATTTTGGGACTAATGCGGAATTTTTTGAACTATTTCGGGTTTTTCAAGATTACTTCGAGAATTTCAGTGTTAGTCCCAAAGATCGCGATATATTCCCGAGAATCCCGAAAATATCGAAATAGCCCCAAAAGCTCCGAATTAGTCCCGAAAATTCCGAAGTAGTTGCGTTGCCTAAAAGAGTACTATGTATTTAGTTGAAAATCACAAATCAAATGATTCGCTCTATAAATCAAATCACATATAAATTTGATTTCTGATTTGGGGGGCGATTCAAATCGCAAATAACTTTGATTTCTTATTTGGCTGACGAATGAAATCACAAACAAAACTTGTCTTTTATTTGGCTGACCAAGTAAATCACAAATAAAACTTATCTTTTATTTGGTTGACCAAGCAAATCACAAATAAAATTTATTTAGGATTTGATGGAACTTTCAATTCAGAAATAAATTTGATTTATGGATTTTTGATTTGACTAAATCAAAATCACTCAACCCTGCTGATATGTACATAAAATAAATATTATGCAATATAAAATGGAAGCCAAAAGTGGGTGCTTCTCTGGACGAGGTCCGTTTTCGATGGCAAAACTCCTCCTTGCTTTACACAGCTTTTGTTATATAAAATCAAGATAGAAT